CTACTGTACAGCCTGAGTCATTTGGTGAGATTAAAGGCAAATTGAGTCCACTATTTGACCTAAGGACCAGGAAGGGTTACTGCCAGTGCACAGACGGGTCTTCTACTTGAGCACGCACAACCTCAGCAGCTTGGACTAGAAACCTGTAGCCACAGATTCCCTGACGTATTGCTTCCTGGACCTTCACTCTGAATGTTGGATTCCTCCCCAGGGAGGCTGTCATGACTGCAAAGCCTTTCCCCAGTTAGCTCAACTTCTATGTTGGTTATTCAAAGAGTGCCATCTGCAGGATGAACTGAGGACTCAAATATTTAATTCATCTTCAAATACTATTTGAAGAATTTGTTTAAAATTTGTTCAAGAGCTATTAAACACAAAAGTTAAAGTTTAATGAAGGATAATGGAGTACCACATAAATTCTTCAAAGTTATCATTTACGTCTATTTTAATAGCTGACTTAAATGTCTTTACTCCAAAGATTGACCACTGGTAAGAATCACAGATGACTTCACTATCCCAAGAGTGGAGATGTATTTGTTCAGGGACTTTACACTGCCTCAACCCCTCCTCATGGATAGCCATTTCCTCTGCCACTGGCTTGCTTTTCCTTGCAGAAGGACAAATTTCCAGGAGCTGTGACAGATGCAATAACTCTCTTTCTGCTTTGATTCAAGACAATTTTTTTGAACCTAAATACAAAGAATGTGTGCTCAGAATTCCTTTCTCATTAACAGCCTCAAGTAAAGGAATCTTAAATGATAAGGTTAAAAGAGGTCCCTTCACGGAATCATGACCCTTTAGAGTATTGCTCATAATTTACCCCAGCCTCCTACCCATGACATCTATAGCCTTCCTGAACATATCTCATAAACAGCAACCCAAACAAAGAATAGAAGTGTCCATGCTTTGGCTTTCTGTCATTGTTCTTCTTACTCAAGAGCTTTCAATTCCTGATTAAATCCACTCCTATTCTCCCAATGGCCCTCACTTAATTGAGAGAAGAAGGAAGAGACAAAGAAAACCCTTTCCTGCCAAGATTACCCTGTTTTCACCACCTATACATGGCAATCACGTTGTACAGAACAAAGCAGGTCTCAGGCAGGTTGACTGTCAGTAGCAGCCTGCCCAAGACTGCCTTCATTGTGGTCAGCATTGGTTTTCCTATGTAAACTAGCAATCCCAGGATGCTGGGCAGCTCCACTCCCCAGAGCGGGGATGATGGAATAAGGCAGGATTAATTCCCAGCCTACAAGATCCAGCTCTGGAGGCTAATTTCAGGGTAATGGGATGGCTCATGAACCCTAGGTAAAGTGCTCCCTTTGTAGCTCACATCTGCTTTTCTCCTTTCTAGAGCAAACACTCCTCCTAAAAGCATGAGCCTTTTGGAACTTAGAACTCTGTCTTCTCTTTCAAAAAAATACAGTCTTATGAGAAAGCAGAGTCAGGAGAGACGTGGATTATGCCAGTGGATTACTCATTGGAAGGACCAGAGAAAACTCATAATGGATGTCAAAGAAGGTGGCAACATCCCCCACCCTCACCCCCTTTGTTCCACACTTTCCATATGCAAATGGGCACTCAGAAATGAATTTTATGCCCAGTTCCTATATCTCAATAAGGAGGGACAGCATGGAATTAGGATAAGAGCAAGACTCTGAAACCCAACAGACCTGGGTCTGAATCTCAGCAGAGCTCCTGACAAGCTGGATGACTCGGGCACATGGAAAAACTTTTTGAGACTCAGTGTTGCCTTCTATAAAACAAGGTGAATACTATCTAGCATTCAGGATTGGTATAAGACAAAATATATAATGGAAACATAAGCTCTCAAAAATGTGTCCATTCTTTAATATGAATTTAAGTTCGTGTGTCTTTGTTGCTGATGGCAAGGCATTGTCCCACTTGAAAGGAATATCAGGCACCAGTGAGAAAGTGGAGGAGCAGATGGGCACAATGGGACTAGGATGGCCATGGGCCTGGCTTGATTATAACAAAATGCAAAAACTGTAACCTATAACCAAAACATGGGGCTATAACTAAGGTTGGCATTGCCTCTGAGGCCACATGAGGTAGAGGGAAAGGGGAATTGAGCTGGGTCAGTGCTATGGGTGGCTTTGGGAATGTCCTTTTTAAGTGAGGAGTGCTGAGCCATAGGACAGCCCACAGACAGAAGCACCAAAGCCATGGGATGGCCCTATTCCAACAGACCACCCCAGGTACTACAACCTTCACTCTCAGCATTCAAGGGATACATGTGGCTCTCTCCCATCCTTTGACCCCTAATAGCCTACAGAGGAATGACCCAGGGTGTATGGCCACCCAGGTATTTTGGGTCGGTGTTGCATCTTGTCCATCATAAGGTACATCGAGACCTGTGGCTATCACAATGGCAAAGTCCACCTCATTCTGCAGAAGGCCCTCATTGGCTATAACGATTTCTTTTTTATTGTGGTAAAATAAACAATATGACACTTAGAATTTTAACCATTTTAAAGTGCATAATTTAGTGGTATTAAGTACATTCACAGTGTTGTGGTGCAACCATCACTATCATTCATCTCAAGAACTCTTCATCTTGCAAAACTGAAACTCTGTATCAATTAAACTAGGAGAGTCCAATCTTTTGGCTTCCCCAGGCCACACTGGAAGAATTTTCTTGGGCCACACATAAAATATACTAATGGTAACTGATGAGTTTTAAAAATCACAAAAAATTCATAATGTTTTAAGAAAGTTTACAAATTTGTGTTGGACCATATTCAAAGCCACCGTCATGGGCCACATATAGCCTATGGGCCACGGGCTAGATAAGCTTGCATTAAACAATAGCTCCCCAATCCTCCCTTCCCCTCAACCTCTGACAACCACCATTCTACTTTTTATCTCTATGAATCTGACTATTCTAGGTGTAAGTAGAATCACAAACTATTCGTCCTTTCTGTGACTAGCTTATTTCACTTAGCATAATGTCTTCAAGGTTAATCCATGTTGTAGCATTTATTAGAATTCCCTCCCTTTTTAAGTCTAAATAATAATCCATTATATGAATATACAGTACCACATTTTGTTTATCTGTGCATCCGTCAATAGACATCGGAGTTGCTTCCACCTTTTAAATATTGTGAACATGGGTGTATAAATATCTATTTGATGATCGGGCCTGGTAGCTCCTGCCTGTAATCCCAGCACTTTGGGAGGCCAAGGTGGATGGATCACCTGAGGTCAGGAGTTTGAGAGCAGCCTGGCCAACATGGTGAAACCCCATCTCTACTAAAAATATTTTAAAAATTAGCCAGGTGTGATGGCAGGTGCCTGTAATCCCAGTTACTCTGGAGTCTGAGGCAGGAGAATCACTTGATCCCAGGAGGCAAAGGTTGCAGTGATCCAAGATCGCATCACTGCATTCCAGCTTAGGCAACAGAGCAAGACTCTGTCTCAAAAAAAAAAAAAAAAAAAAATCTGTTTAAGTTCCTGCTTTCAATTCTGTTGGGAATACATGCTGAAGTGGAATTGCTGGATCTATGGCAATTGTATTTTTAATTTTTGAGGACCCAACACACTGTTTTCCACAGTGGCTGCACCATTTTACACTCTCATCAACGGTGCACAAGGGTTCCATAGGAGGCTTTCTTTACCCCACAGGTTGGGTCCAATCCACCTATATTCCCTGGGCTCAGGTTGCTGCTAACATGGTCTTTCTGGCTCCTGTAAGGGCTTTCACTTTTCAGCATTTACTTGCAGCTCCCCTAAAGATGCAGTAATGCTCCATGACTTTCCTGTTCTTGCTTGGTTGTTGATGGGCCATCTCTTTTTGCATCCATTGCACATAGCCTGCCTGGGGCTGGGCACCTCCCTGGGTGAGGCCTAGGGCTCTGCATAATGCCCAAAGTGGGACCCACATTGAGGGCTGTCTGCCTAGTGGGACTGAAGTCAGCTCTGGCTAAGGCGGTGATGTGGTAAAACCTAGCTCTGTCATCCTCACTCCTTCAGCAACACCTACCCCTCTGTCCCATATGGGCACCCTCCCTGCCTTATTCTTCATCATTTTATTTTTCATGGCAGCTGATCACACCTGACAAAATAACTGGAGAGCGGTATTTCATCTTGAAAATGAAAATTTTCAGGACCCATTTGGAAAACTCCCCAGTGGAGAAATATAACAGAGCTAGGACAACATTTTTGAGGTAGAGGCTCTAAACAAAAAAACAGACTTTGAAACAATTACATTATTAAACAAATGGTCAGGACCTCTCATACAACATCTTTGTATAAATTCAAAAACAGTGCCCTTTTTGGATCAGGTATACAGCTCAGCTAAAAGACTGAACATTGTATAAATGGCAGTTTAAATATTGTAGAAATGACACCAAGGTACGTTCTCTGGGCACATTCTGCCCTGTGAGCGCATGGCTGATGAGCAGGTGCCACCTATTTCTCCAGGTCCTAGAAGGTATGTGGCTTTGCAAGTAGAGCTGGGACTGATTTTTAGCTCTCACTCACTGGTAGTGACAATCATAAGCAGTAGCCCTGGGGTGATGAGGAATCTAATAATGTCATTCCCTCCTGCCAGCACCACCTTGTGGACAAGGCATTTTTAGATCACACCAGCAGGAAGATTTTTTTGAAAGACCATAAACATGGGCAACTATTTTACCACTTATCTAGATTCCAAAAAAAAGACAAAGGACTCCTTGCATCAGGCAGGGAGGCAGCCCAGCAGCAACAGGTTATCAACCCAGCATGCCTCACAAAACACCAAAGGCACAGCCCTGGTGTCTGTCTCTCTCTTTCTCTCTCTCTCTCTCTCTCTCTCTCTCTCACACACACACACACACACACACACACACACAGCATCTTACCTGAGCCACCTCTTCAAAGTCCACGGGTTATCAACCCAGCATGCTTCACCAAACACCAAAGCCACAGCCCTGGTCTCTCTCATCTACACACACACACACACACACACACACACACACACACACACACACAGAGCGTCTCACCTGAGCCACCTCTTCAAAGTCATCATGCCTCTTCTGCAAGGCCCGGGCTCGATGTAGGGACTTCCCAACTCCAGTGTGTTTGCTGAGAAAGGCCTCACCATGGTTTTCAATCCAGTCCAACACCTGGTCAGAGAAGGATAACAGCAACAATGACTTCCTAGCAGAAGAAAAGACACGTGACAACATGTGCAACTGCTAGAGTCCTAATCACCCCCATATCCCATCCCTATTGAAAAGCAGAAGTTCAGGTGGACATGTTCAATCCACTGTGGGTCCATGGGATTTCATTATTGTCACTGGTAATATGATAGTCCCACCCTTAACTAAATTCAACTTATCCATTTTGATCTCCAGATTATTCTTCCATTGCTTTTTCCATTTTCTTCGTTCATTATTTTAAACAAGCTACATAGACCATCAGGCACAGCTTTACCCCCTCACCACTTCTACCCAATTGCATAAAGATATTGGCAGGAAATTAGGCAGCAGCAGTTTGGGCAGCATCTTGGCCCTCATTACTCATCCATCACTCTGCCATAAGAATACCCACAGCAATGGTGACCAGCCATGGGGATCCTGCCTCATTGTGCTCCTGGGGCTCCCCTTCCAAATCTTGAAAGCAAAGTCCAGGGTAGTCAGTCCCCAGTTGAATGCTCAAGATATCTGACCACTAGGACAATGGCTTCTTTCCATTGTCCTAGTGGTCAGATATCTTGAGCATTCAACTGGGGACTGACTACCCTGGTTGAATGTTTTCTAGGTCCTCTGGCTTCTTTCCATCTCTCTTCTCCAATCAATAGCAACCAACCAAATGAATAAAGTATTTGCATCCTAAGTCCTTTAGTATCTGAGTCTCTTGGGAAGCAGTGGAGACTTCATGTTCTTCCAGGCTAAAGATCTAGTGATTTGGCTTTAAGACAGTTTCTTTGATATTTAGAGACTTTGGAACAGAGGAGCCTGGGCAATAGAGGAGTGAGAGAAAGGGGATGCTAAGAAGGGTAGAAAATAAGTTTTTCTGAGGAGCAGTTGAGAGGCAGGATGGAAATCCCTTAGTAAAAGCCTTGACATATAGGGAGGACCAAAGCCTTTTATACTCATTTTGCATTCTTGCAGATGGCCTAACAAAAATGTATGCATCCCAGAGATCATCTTTTGATCTCAAAGAGTTGTTGCTCAGTAAATCAGGTGGCCACAATTAAATCAGAATTACAGTATGAACACACCTGTTATAGATCCTGCTAAAACTCAAGCAAGCTCACTAAATACCTGCAATATTAAACATTAACTAAACATTTGATTAATGATAAGCTAGCCTTTCCAGGTTTTGGAGGAGCTTACTGGAAAATGATTTAGATGAACTAGGTCTATTTAAAAGGATGTTTTAACTCATACCTGTGTCTCAAACAGATTGCCCTATAACAAACAGAGGTAAAACCAAATCATTCCAAAGACTACAAGCACAGGAGTTCTCTGACATTTGGGATATTTTAGTATCTGCAGTGTGCAAAGTATGGACATTTTCAAAATCTTTGGTGACAGGATCACAAAGCCCACATCATGATTGTGCTAGTTCAGAGAAAGGTACATATGAACATAAAAATGAGGCTTAACAAACATCCACTTAATGAAGATGGAGTAATTGTCTATCACCATGAGGAAAATATTAACAAAAAATGAATTTATCTAAACATTATCTATGGAGATTTTAAACCCTTTATAATATAAACACTTGATAATATATTCTGGCCATATACACACACACGCACATACACATTTTTTTTTTTAAGTATTCTGGAGGCACAACCCTAAAAAGAAATTGTGGTAGTGCTGGATTTTTACCTTTTGCAAACACTGAAAAGGTGGCACTGAAAGGCACGTTCCTGTCTTAGAAGAGCCTACGTTTCTCTAGAATTACAGCGAAACTTCAACCAAAAAAAATCAGGAGAATGTATTTTTACTTGGCTTGCCACAATTAGATCTCACAATTCTGTACTGTAACAGGAGTTATGAGCTCCGGCATGCAAGGTCAAAGGTAAATACTTCTAGTCACAAAGTTTTCCATATATTATGTGCCAAGCACAGTAAAGTTTTAGACTTTTAATGCATAAACTTCCATTAATCCCTTTTGAGAACAAATTGAGGTTTGAGGATAATTTTCGGCACACAAAAGAACTACTGGTGGCCATTTATGAATATATTGGAATTTATAACAGATTTTTCAGACTACATTTTTTTTTAATTAGTTTTGAGCAATTAAGTATGACCTGCTTGTCTGGCAATGTTTTCATGAGTTTATTTTATTTCATTTTTTATCTCTAGCTTTAAGAAAATTGGTTATTCTGAAGCAAATTCGTTGAAGAGGAATATTTTTCTTCTAATAGTTCACCTGCGCACAGTGTTTGCTCTCCCCAAAAATGATTTCACAACTTTTAAACATTTTTTAAAAGGCAATTTGTTTCCTTTTTAAGTTACCCCACTTTCTTTAAAATGTCAATATATTTTTAGCTAGTGGCACTTTTTTTTAACTTAATCGGCTATGCCTTCATCACTTAAAAACCTATTTCATATTTGAGAGGCTTTTACTTCATCTTAACATAACTTTGATTGCCCTATGATGTTATAGTACCATCATTTAGTCCAATTTCTACCATTAGAATTGAAGCTGTAGGAAAAATATGTGCAATCTTGACAAAAGTTCAGGAGCTGTGCAGAAATCAATTTAACAAATCAAAAAGCAAATAATTTAGGAAATTAACAAAATGACTTTCCTAATCCAGACTGAAAAAGTACTCAAGGATAGATAAACATAGTCAGTATATGAAGTATTGTTAGAGATTCTAGTTTCTGACTATTTTGTTTCAGACAGTTCACTTGGAGCCATTGTTGTGTGATACAAGTGTTTAGACCACATACTGTCTTGACCCTGATTCCACATCCTCCAACCTTGGGAGTACAATCTGACTTGACCCTGATTCCACATCCTCCAACCTTGGGAGTACAATCTGACTTGACCCTGATTCCACATCCTCCAACCTTGGGAGTACAATCTGACTTGACCCTGATTCCATGTCCTCCAACCTTGGAAGTACAATCTGACTTTACATGCAGATCCTGCACAGCAGAGAAATGTGTTCCTGAGCAGTCACCAGCAGTGCCTGACAATTGTATTACACACTGTAAATGTACAGGTGGCTTGAAATTCTGAATTTGTTGGTTTCTAGCGAGTTCCATTAAGATGAACCAGGCCCCAGAAGCTGAACATCACTGGTTAAAGAATAAATTAACTTTCTAGCCAAATCATGGACCCTAACTAAGCACAAGTACCCATCAAGGTACTCCTTATAATCTTATTCCTGGATGATTTATCTTCATCTACAAGGCATATTTAAAATACTCAATTACCAATCATAGAGTATACAAGATGACAGTCATTCATACCTATTGATGGCTCTGAATTGGTATTTGAACATTTCCAACTTGGGAGGTTTTACCTTTTTGTTTTTGTCTGAGGGGTCCTCAGGTAGCAGAGAAGCATATGTGGGTATATAAGTATTCACATATTCAGATATTTATTTGATAGTGTTATTGTGCCCTCGTGCCAGGCACTATAGCACCTCTAGAGGTGGGGGTGTAGCAGTAAACAAGGCAGGCATGGTCTGATGCTGGGAACTCAGTCTTATAGGGGTAACAAGCACTAGACACTAAATCACACAATTCATCATTCACTGCAAAGGTGAAAAGTGTCAACAGCCAAATGCAACTTCGCTGAGGAGTCACGGAAGGCTTCTTAGAAGAAGTGAGATTTAGTCAAGATCTGAGAGAGTAGGATTTAACCAAATTAGGAATTTAAAAGACCAGCATGGCTTGCACAGGGGTAAGTATAAAATGGACCCCGAAAAGGCAGGAACCAGATTGTGGTGAACCCTGATGTGCTGAATGGGAGAACCCAGTGTCCATCCTAAGAGCCACTGAAGGGTTTCAAGGAGGATAAAGACTATTTCATTTTCAGTTAAAAATTATTGCTCTGATTGGCTAGGTGCAGTGGTTCACACCTGTAATCCCAACCCTTTGTGAGGCAGAGGCAGGTAGATTGCTTGAACCCAGGAATTTGAGACAAGTCTTAGCAACATGGCAAAACCCTGTCTCTACAAAAAAATTAGCCAGGTGTGGTGGTGTACACCTGCAGTCCCAGCTACCCAGGAGGCTGAGGAGGGAGGATCCCCTGAGCCTAGGAGGTTGAGGCTGAAGTGAGCCATGATATCACCATTCCAGCCTGGGCAACAGAATGAGACCTTGTCATAAATAAATAAATAAATAAATAAGGCTCTGATTGCTTTGTGGAGGATCAACTGGGGAAGGCAAGAGTAGAGAGTGGAAAACAGGAGGCAGAAATTATGACAAGAGGTGATGGTGACGCAGGCAAGGCCAATGGCAGTATATATGGATAGACAGGTTGGGGGAAAGAATTGCCAGGACTTGGTCATTGGCTATGGGGGAGATGGAGAGACAGGTGGTAAGTCTGACTCCCAGAGGCATGTCTCAAACAACTGAGTGGAAGGTAGAACTAGTCACTGGTATAGGAGTGAAGGAGTTATAAGGGGTAGCAAAGACATAACTTTTTTTTTTCTTAAGATTTTTTTCCCTTTCCATGCTCATGCTCTTGTTTTGAGTATGAACACAGAAAGGAATACTCAGAGGCATAAATGTCAGTGATTTGTACCCCTAAATTTGAATGGGAAATAGTACTCAATAATAGTTGTCAATCAGATTCTGGTAACATGTGCCTTTAGTTTCAAAGAAGTAATTTATACAATAAAGCTTAAAAATAAATTATAAATTGTTGATCTAGCTGAATCACAATAATAAACCAGTTGGGAATATCAAATCCACTTTAAAAACATAACTTTAAACTAAGCATCCATCAAGGGATGACTGGATAAAGAAAATGTGGTAATATTTACAATGGAATACCATTTCGCCATAAAAAAGAATGAAATCATGCCTTCTGTAGCAACATGGATGGAACCGGAGGCCATTGTCTTAAAGTAAAACAAGTCAAGCACAAAAAGACAAATATAACATGTTCTCACTTATATGTGGGAGATGAATAATGCATACACATG